CAAATCACTGACAACCATTACATTGGCAATGTGGCCACTTTCTGCACACACAAAACCAACCCCTGGCCTCGTCCTCTACCACAGCTCCAATGGTCTCATGGTTAGTGCTGTGGGCTTTCATGTGGGAGATTACGGTTTGAAATCCAGCAACAGCAACATTAACAGAAAATCTCTACAAACTTCATATTGTCACACAATTACCGTTATTACAAACACCTGCTGACTCGACAGGTACAAGCTGGTATAGAAAACACATTTGAACTTGGTCACATTTCATTCTGCAAGTCCAGTGTTGCAGGTAAAGCCATGCTGCAATAACATGCTACATGGCAATGCACACTTGTTTTTACATCGTAAAAACCCATGCCTAGTCTAATATTATATTTGACAACAGAATGATGATTGAAAGTCTTTTTTAAGGCTAGGCTAACAGCCCGAACAAGGGCCCACAGGTTATTGTTTAGACTCATTTGTCAACTGTTTCTAAAAAARTAAMAAAACACYGTGAAGGAGCACTACATTAATATTAAATCTGACTGGATCTACATTAGCTAATACTAAAATTGATAACAGAATGGAAGATCAAAAGCAATAAWTTAGGATTAAATAGATGCTATTTCTTGCATTCCTGTGTATTTTCACAYGTTTTTAAACATACTTTTAAATACATAAGTAAACACTTGATTTCACAGCTATTTTAGACTGAGTCATTAGTAGTTGCCTCATCCTGTTTTTAAACTCACAGCTRTGGCTAAGGTAATGAAATTAATGACAATTTTTCACAAACCATGGCTTTAGGGGTGCATTTTAATTTGATATTGTTTGTTAGTGATTTAGTTTTATTTGTAGCACAACATGTCATWATGTCAGACAATGATGACACTCAACTGCATGTTTAAAATATGAATATTAATAACTTAATGAACAGGTGCAGTTGTGTTAACCACTAACTGTGAACATGGGGGATCTAAAGTAATAAGAATATTTACCTTTTTAATCTTTTTAACTTAGTGACATGGTGGGTTAATGACATCATTCTACAGATTGAGAAGGTAAATATTTAAGGTACGGCACAAAGAGTAAATTTTGCTGAGCTGCCCTTCACTGTTAGTGAAATCTGTCCTCAAACACATTCTTACAGTGTTGAACCATGTTAATGTAGAAGGAGGTGTAGAGGAGAGTAAAATACAGGGTCCAGCAAGAAGGCGACAGAAACCAAACTCTCATTTTGCTTGGGAGATAGGTTCAGAGTGGTCACTGGAGGTCCAAAAATGGCAATTAGTGGGTCACTTTGGATCTGGGTTCTAAAGACCCCTGAGAGTCCAGAAAAGAAATTGCTACAGAATTTATGCAAACTTGGACAGAAAAAAAAAGTATGACTGAAGTTGTCTGAAATTAAAGGGGAGGTTTTAGATAAATGAGATTTAGAAAAATCGTCTCTGTTTATTAGTTTAAACTGTACAATCTGTAACCTGGCACATGGTGTAGTTCGTGTTTAACATTTTTATTAGCATTTTGACTTTCATTTACAAGGTTTTTACAAGGAATAGGAAAGACAAAATATACAAAACACAAGCAATAATAAAAACCACAAACACAGCCCAGCCAATAAACAGCCAACATTCCCCTGAATACTGTCACCTACAAGGTGTGTAGGAGAAACAAAAAAGTTAAGACCATACAAAAATCCATGTCAAGATTTACTGAGCCACTGCTCAGCCAACAGTCCCATGGTCTACTGTTCCAGAACCTCGAAGGTTTATTGAAAAAGATCATAAACGATTTCCAAGTTTTATGAAATTTATTCTCAGAGCCTCTCATCACATACCTGATTTTCTCTAATTTTAGGTTAAGTAGAACGTCTTTTATCCAGTTTGACACTGTGGGTGGAGCAGCATCCTTCCATCTAAGGAGAATTAGGCGGCGTGCTAGCAAAGTTGAGAAAGCAATCACCTTCCTGCCTCCTGTAGGTAAACCTAGACCCTCAGGAGTAACCCCAAAGAGCAGCATGAGTGGGTTTGGAGTAATTTTAACTCCAAAAACAGCTGACAGTGATTCACAAATACCAGTCCAGTGTGTCTGTATCCTTGGGCAGTTCCAAAACATGTGTAATAGTGTGGCTTCCTCTAATTTACATCTGTCACATGGAGGGTCGATTTCAGGGTAAATTCTGGCCAATTTAGATTTATGGAGGTATGCCCGATGTACCAGTTTAAATTGGATAAGGGAGTGCCTTGCGCAAATTGATGATGAGTGGATTTTCCCCAAAATATCAGCCCAAACTGCCTCACTAGTTGTAGTTTGAAGATCCTGCTCCCAGGACTGTTTAATTATGGCAAAGGATCGGGAGTCAAAATGGGAGATCAGTTTTATCCAGGAAGTGATTGCTTTGCATCTTGTTGGGTCGAAAGACATCAACTCATCCATTATATTATCGGGAGGCTTATCAGGAAATATTGACATAGATGAGGTAATAAAATGCCTAGCCTGTAAATATCTAAAAAAGTGTGAGGCTGGTAAATCAAATTTGTTGGACAATTGTTCAAAAGAAGCAAACTTGTTTTCAATATAGAGGTCCTTAAAATATTTTAAGTCTTTACTCTGCTACACACCAAAAGTAGCATCCTGCAGCGAAGGAGGAAAAAGGTTATTAAATGCAACTGGGCTGGAAAGACTCATCTGACAAAGGCCAAAGTGTTTCCTAAATTGAGAGTAGATTGCCAGGGAGTTATAGACTATGCGGTTAGAGGAAGTACGTTTAAGAGGTAAAGGTAAGGGTGCACCGATCAAAGCTGGCATTGGTAAAGGGGCACATGAGAATTTTTCCATCTCAACCCAAATAGGACCACCATCATTGGAGCTGTAGTGCATCCAAGAAGACAAACAGTACAAGTTACATACCCGGCACATGGTGTAGTTAACTGTACGGTGAGATTAACCGTATCCCACCATGACTGTTCAACACCTAATTCACCGGTCTGACTTCATCAGATGAGTCAGACTCAAGTTTTCCATATATATTAGAGAGGGGCGATATCTGATTAGATCTAAGAACCAGAAGGTCAACCTTTGGTGGATCAGCGAACCTCTGGAAACAATGATGAGATACAGTGTCTGATTTGGAAATAAAGAAACAAATGAGAAGGAGACAGGTTGAATTTTGAGGGTAACTCTGAAAAACTAAGAACAAACCATTTTTGTAAAGGTCTCATGGTTTTAATGCCCCTCTCATAAGCAGCAATGGTAGCAGCAGAGGRAAACTGAGACCAAATCTAAAGTGTGGAGAGCACTGTGGGATCTGAAGTAACAGAAGATAATTTATAGTAATAAATAACAGGTAGTGATGAATAGATAATAGMGGCAGTCAAAAAAGTGGAGAAATTTATTGAATTTCAAGTTTACACCAGATCAAATTAGGTGAATTTAGCCAATAAGTCAATTTATGAATGTGTGGAGACCAGTAATACATTAATAAAACCGGTGGGGAAAGACCACCGTTACTGGTGAACTGTTGTAATAGTCTCAGTCTGGGGGTCTTTCCACTCCACAAAAAAGAAAAAACTATYTGATCCAAAGATTTAAAAACCTGTTTAGAGGAATACATTGATGTAAAGAGAGAAATCTGGGTAACACATTCCTTTCTAATAACATTAATCCTGCCAATTAATGAAAGAGTGGTCCCACAATATCTACCATTGCCTCGAAATGAAAGTTAAAATTAATGATTGTTACACTGGCCAAAATAAAATAAAGTTCAGTTTAATCATGCTGTAGATTATGATTTTAAATCAGTGATGTGTTTCATGAAGTCACAGCTGAATAGAATGGATTCAAAATAAACATACATCAAGAACTCTGCCAATCACATTTAGAACTAACTCCGCCCACATCAAGAACTCTGCCAATCACATTTAGAACTAACTCCGCCCACATCAAGAAGTCTGCCAATCACATTTAGAACTAACTCCGCCCACATCAAGAACTCTGCCAATTACATTTAGAACTAACTCCGCCCACATCAAGAACTCTGTCAATCACATTTAGAACTAACTCCGCCCACATCAAGAACTTTGTCAATCACATTTAGAACTAACTCCGCCCACATCAAGAACTCTGTCAATCACATTTAGAACTAACTCCGCCCACATCAAGAACTCTGTCAATCACATTTAGAACTAACTCCGCCCACATCAAGAACTCTGTGAATCACATTTAGAACTAACTCCGCCCACATCAAGAACTCCATCAGTCTTGTTAAAGAAAACTCAGTCCACATCAAGAACTCTGTCAATCACATTGAAGATTAACTCCACCCACATCAAAAACTCCATCAATCTCGTTAAAGAAAACTCCGCCCACATCAAGAACTCTGTCAATCACATTGAAGATTAACTCCGCCCACATTAAGCACTCCACCAATCACATTAAGGACAAACTCCACCCACACAACAAGAAACTCCCTGTATGTACAGCAGAGACCTGTACTTGGATATTTTAGTAAAGTGGGGTGGAAACATCTCCTTCACTTTCTATTATTGTGACACCTAAGATCAAAATTCTTTCTTGAGGCTGGACTGATGGTTCGAACGAAGAACCATTGTTTGTTTTTAGACTCATATATCAACTCTTTCTAAAAAAAATGTGTGAAGAAATGCCATATTAGTTAATATTAAAGCTTACAAACATGGTAATTTATGTCTTTTAATATTAGCTAACGTAATGTTAGTTTTCACACAGGATGTTGTTTTTGAGTGAGAGTTTTATTTAGAAACCAGAAAACATTTTAAGACTGGTCATAATTTTGGGTTGTTTGCTAGTTTAGCTGAGCAGAAGACTTTTCTCTGTATTCTGTGCTCTGATGAATGTCACAGCTGRTAACATTTTATAGGAATGACAACTTAAAAATGACTTTATAATAAACTGTTTACATTATGAGTGATAATCCTGATGGGTTTTGTTTTGTGTGGCTCTGACCGGTCTCCTGCTCTGTGTGTCTGTTCAGGTAACTAAGACCATCTTCGCCATCCTGCTGGCCTTCATCATTACATGGACACCGTACAATGTCATGGTGCTGATTTCCACCTTCTGTCAGTCCTGTGTTCCTGACACGGTGTGGGCCATCGGCTACTGGCTGTGTTATGTCAACTCCACCATCAACCCAGCTTGTTATGCACTCTGCAATGCCACATTCAAGAAGACGTTCAAAAACCTGCTGCTGTGCCAGTATAAAAACATAGGTACGAGATGAGAGGAGAGGACAGAGGAAGACTGAGGGTGGGCTGGGAAGGGAAGACATGAGCCACCTAAAAACAGGAAACACAAGGGAGGTGGGGGGGAGGAACGCTGTCCTAAAGGTAAGTGGAACAAGACTGAAGGAAAGGGAGAGCAGAAACAAACATGTCTCCTACAGGTGCAGTGGATATGCAACTCTTTATTCTCCCAGGACTTATCGGATCAGTTTGAGGTGGACCAGCATCATGTGGGCACAGTTCAAACATGTATGGAAGACTTTCTGGTGATTAATTAACTTTTGTTGAATCCTCCTTCAGTCCCAGTTCTGACTGAACAGAAACCATGCCACCATTGTGAACAGTGGTGTGGGTAATTGGCCTCTGGCTGAGCTGTGACAGGCTTCCCTTCCACTCAGATTGTTATCTACGGTTCAGRACCATTAAAAAGTTCTTCATCTTCCTGCAGCTGATCAGACTGAGCCTGAAGTTGGAAAAAAAGAGGGAAGAAATGGGAAAATGGGACACGATGGACGAGGGTAAAACTAAGGCCTTTGACTCTGGTGTGAGATGCTATGAGCTCCAGGAATCTGGTAGTTTTCTGCTTGTGTTTATCGTGGTGTGCATTTTTTATGTATRCTCATCAACTCAGCTCTGTGACTACCGACATCATGTGAAAGACGTTTCAGGTGTCAGTGATGTGAAAATGAGGTTTGGACTGGGACAGATACAGTCGTTCAGCAGTCATGAGAGAGTGGATGCCGTGGACTCAGGAAAGAAGGAAGTTACCTCACTGAGGGGTTAGTTTTTGTTTCCTGTGCCCCGGCAGACATGTAACTCTGAATCCTCCCTGTCTCTACTAAAAGGTCAAACTCATTTCTGTAAGACCTGAGCAGACAGCAGGTCTGTGGTGGCTGTAAAGCAGCAGTATGATCATGGATTAATTCAGTGTATTTGTTGTTGTGGCACCTCAGACGCTCAGGTCATAGGAACCCTGAGAGAGTTAAGAAAAGCTCCAGACTCTTTGCTTAGCTCTTGAAGATGTTTCACCTCATATCTGAAAGGTTTTCTCTCTTATTGACAAAAACATTTTGTTTCTCTTGTGTTTGGATGAGAGGTGAAGATTCACAGCTTGAATGAATAGAGGATACTCTTGAAGGCAGAAGAAAAGAAGCTGCAGTCCGTTCTGGTACTTCAGCAGGTCTGTGCAGGAGGAGTGGGAGTAGTCTGTGGTTAAAAACAGAGCTTCAGATAGTAAGAGTGTGTTCTGTTGAGGAAACACTGTGTTATCTGAACAGTCCTGTGATGACTGCACCTCTCAGGTCTTTAAGGGTGCTTCAGATCAAGGTTAGAGCAACTTGAGGACCTTAAAGGGATCGATTCTGGTCTGAAAGGCACACTCAGGTGCCTTCCTTTCGCTGCCTCTGCTCTTTGATTCACATGAAACAGAGAGCAGCTCCAACACTGAGCCGATGAGAGGGAGGAGCTTCTTTGTTGCTGACAGGGAAGTTGTGCCAACAGATGGTTGCAGACTGTCGAAGAAACGAAGAAGGTTCCCGTTCCCAAGGGAGACRAGGAAGGACGAATGATTCCAGCTGCTAAACACTCAGCTGCCCTCGTAGAGTGAACTTATGTAACCAACATATATACAGGTGAAGACACAACCATGAGGGTGGAATAAACAGAATCATTCAGGGACAGAGGATCACACAGCTTTAATTAAACAGGACAAGATGAGCGTCCAGCGGATAATAATAATAATAATTTCATTGTAGTTACCAGACAAACCAGAACAAGGAGTCCTCTGGGGTCCACACAGGACCCTCCAAAGGTTTGTGGGTCCATCTGTAGTCAGGATGYTTGAGAACTGAGAACAAAAATGACATTTAAAGCTCTGAACTCTGTTACAGATTTAGTTCTTTGAAAAACAGTCACATTTTACAGGATGTGTATGAACTGACTCTCTGAGCCTCYGTTGTTCAGAAACAATGGGCCTCATGCAAGAACATGTTCGTATTCTTCTCCTAAATTTCTCTTACTTTTGTTCGTACAAAGGGTTCGTA